GAGATTTAAAAGTATTAGACTTTAATTTGATTTATTTCTATTTAAATATCAACATGTGGTTTTATGATGAATGGATTATTCCAGCTTCTCTTGAACTTTAATTTTTTTAGGTATTAAGTAAGATAATATTATATATAGCATAATTTTCATTGATTTTTTGTTGAGTTGTATTATTTATATATATATATATATATATATATGTGTGTGTGAAATTTTCTGTTTTTGTTTCTTTCGAGGTGTTTGAGAGTATTTATTGTATATACCTGATTGTTTTTAAGTATTTTTTTTTGTACGAGTAACAAATCACTAAATATATAGTATTAATTCTGGTTCTCACAATAGAAGTATAGAACAATCTACAATGTATTTATAATAATGTATTTTTCTTGATGTTTTGGTTAATATTAACTTTCTAAAATATATACAGAATAGAATATTTTGAAAACATAGCACATAGTTTTATAGAATGAAAAAGAAATAAAATTACTGACTTGTGGTTATTTTTTTCAATCATTGTTTTTTAGAAATGCAGATTCGTTTCTCATACTTAATTTTGTATGTTTTATAAGATGAAATATTTTGTTGTGTACTTGTATATGACTTGAATCATATTGAGTTGTAATCATTAACATAGTACATAAACTGATTATTTTGTATTTATTATTGAGATATATTCTTCCAATTGGTTTTACCATTACTAGTTATACACATTCTTAGCAAAATATTACATATTGCGATAGAAACTTTCAAAAAAATGATACTCGAAAACGTGAGTGATTAATGACATTAGCTCGATTGATATAAGTTCTATATATACCACAGTAAAAATATTTGTGAATATGGTGATTAAGTTTTCTAATGTTTTTAATATGTTATTATGATACTAATTTTTTACTGTCTATGTTTTGTATAGAAGTTGGTAAAAAATTACTCTAAAACAAAGGATTATGCAAATAAAAATTAGTTTGTTGGTCTGCCGAGATTTAAAAGTATTAGACGTTAATTTGATTTATTTCTATTTGACTATCAACATGTGGTTTTATGATGAATGGATAATGTCAGCTTCTCTTGAATTTAATTTTTTTTAGGTATTAAGTAAAATAAGATTATATATAACATAGTTTTTATTGATTTTCTGTTGACTTATATATATATATATATATATATATTTATATTTATATGATATATATGTGAAATTTTCTGTTTTTGTTTCCGTCTCGTACTGTCCAAGATTTTAAATGAAACACACAAGGGAGAACTATTTAGAAAGACAACAAAAATATTTCTAAAGCACAGTGGATGTAATATCATATCATTTCATTATAAATTAAAAAATCGTACAAACCCAACTCTCAATACAATTTCTTACACTGCCACATAATAAATTCCAAAAATATTTATGCCATAGTTACAAATATATCATCATAATTTTGAAATAATATAAGATCAACCAGATTTTTCGCTGGAAGGAAATTTAAGATTAGGAAGACCTGAACCAATATGGCGAGATAACTGATATTCAACAGGTTTAGTCAAATAATATTGACACGCCAAGAAGCACTTGTGCAAATCATTAAGCTTAGGCATGCATCTCTCCTTGGCACACTCCATGAAAATGCGGTCTCTCTCCATTAAACCACCACCTATTCCGACAGCACTCTTTAAAGAGCTATTCTCACCGTTCATGCACCATGTCGCGTTTATAAGCATAGCCACTACTATGACCAATATCACCACTCTCTCGTTTATTCCTTTTGCATCCATTTTCTAGTTTTCACCAATTACTTTATTTTTATACTAATTTTGCTTTTTGATTTATAGTTTTGGGAAAAGAGGAATCAATTGTGGTTTGAATTCGTGAGGAATTTGAGAGAATTTATATGTAATTGTTTTTAACTATTTTTATAAACTCTATTTTGTGTATGAGTAACAAATCACTAAATATAGTATTATTTCTGGTTCTTACAGTACAACAATCTACGTTGTAATTATTTAATAATGTTTTTTCTTTAATTTTCTGATTAATATTAATTTTTAATAAAAAATTTACAGAGTGGAATACTTTAAAACACATAGCACGTAGTTTTACAGAATGAAAGAGAAGTACAATTATTGATTTATGGTTATTTTTCCAATTACTGTTTAATAGACAATGTGGATTCATGTCAAAAAAGGGAAAGACAATGTGGATTTGTTTCTCATACTTAATTTTGTAATGTTTTATTAGATGATATATTATGGTGTGTACTTGTATATGACTTGAATCATATTGAGTTGTAATCATTAACAGATTAGACTAAATCATGATACTAATTTTTTATTGTCTATGTTTTATATAGAAGTTGGTAAAAAAATTACTCTAAAACAAAGGATTCTGCAAATAAAAATTAGTTGTTCGGTCTGCTGACAATTAAAAGTATTATACTTTAATCTGATTTATGTTTATTTAAATATCAACATGTGGTTTTATGATGAATGGGTTATTCCAGCTTCTCTTGGACTTTAATATTTTCTAGGTATTAAGTAAGATAATATTATATATAGCATATATAATTTTCATTGATTTTTTGTTGACTTGTATTTATATATATATATGTGTGTGTGTGTGTATGTGTGTGAAATTTTCTGTTTTTTTTAATTTATTTTCAAGGTGTTTGAGAGAATTTATTGTATATACCTGATTGTTTTTAACTATTTTTTTATATGTACGAGTAACAAATCACTAAATATATAGTATTAATTCTGGTTCTCACAATAGAACAATCTACAATGTATTTATAATAATGTATTTTTCTTGATTTTCTGGTTAATATTAACTTTTAAAAATATATACAGAATAGAATATTTTGAAAACATAGCACATAGTTTTTTTAGAATGAAAAAGAAATAAAATTACTGACTTATGGTCATTTTTTCAATCATTGTTTTTTAGAAATGCAGATTCGTTTCTCATAATTTTGTAATGTTTTATTAGATGATATATTATGTTGTGTAGTTGTATATGACTTGAATCATATTGAGTTGTAATCATTAACATAGTACATAAACTGATTATTTTGTATTTATTATTGAGATATATTCTTCCAATTGGTTTTACCATTACTATTTATACACATTCTTAGCAAAATATTACATATTGCGATAGAAACTTTCAAAAAATATATACCACACAAGGGAGAACTATTTAGAAAGACAACAAAAATATTTCTAAAGCACAGTGGATGTAATATCATATCATTTCATTATAAATTAAAAAATCGTACAAACCCAACTCTCAATACAATTTCTTACACTGCCACATAATAAATTCCAAAAATATTTATGCCATAGTTACAAATATATCATCATAATTTTGAAATAATATAAGATCAACCAGATTTTTCGCTAGAAGGAGATTTAAGATTAGGAAGACCTGAACCAATATGGCGAGATACCTGATATTCAATAGGTTTAGTCAAATAATATTGACACGCCAAGAAGCACTTGTGCAAATTATTAAGCTTAGGCATGCATCTTTCCTTGGCACACTCCATGAAAATGCGGTCTCTCTCCATTAAACCACCACCTGTTCGGACCGCATTTTTTAAAGAGCTATTCTCACCGTTCACGCACCATGTCGCGTTCATAAGCATAGCCACCACTATAATCACTATCACCACTCTCTCGTTTATTCCTTTTACATCCATTTTCTAGTTTTCACCAATTGCTTTATTTTATACTAGTTTTGCGTTTTGCTTTATAGTTTTAGAAAAAGAGAAATTAATTGTGGTTTGAATTCGTGAGGAATTTGAGAGAATTTATATGCAATTGTTTTTAACTATTTTTATAACTCTATTCTGTGTACGAGTAACAAAACCCTAAATATAGTATTATTTCTGGTTATACAGTTTCATAGTAGAATAATTTATGTTGTAATATTTTTCTTAATTTTTTGGTTAATATTAACTTTTTGTAAACTGTACAGAGTGGAATACTTTGAAAAACATAAGATGTCGATTTACAGAAAGAAAAGTACTATTATTGACTAATGGTTGTTTTTTTCAATTATTGTTTTATAGACAATGTGAATTCGTTTTCATACTTAATTTTTAAATATTTTATTAGATGATATTTTTTAATATCCCTATTATGTTGTGTACTTATATATGGTTTGAATCATATTGAGTTCTAATCATTAACGTTAATACATAAACTGATCATTTTCTATTTATTATTGAGATAATTTCTTCGAATTAGTTTTACCGTTACTAATTACACAAACTCTTAGTAAAATATTATCCATCATGATATGCTTTCAAAAAAATGATACTCGAAAACGTGAATGATCAATGTTATTAGTTTGATTGATATAAACATCCTAAATATACCATAATGACAAAAAATTGTGAATATGGTGATTAAGTTTCCTAATGTTTCAAATATATTACTATGCTACTAATGTTTTTGGTAAACAACCATTCGAAAGCAAAGGATTATGTGAAAAAAAAAAAAAAAAATTTGGTTGGTCTGCTGAGATTTGAAAGTATTAGACGTTATTTTGAATTACTTTTACTTTGCTATCAACATGTTGAATGGATTATATCAGTTTCTCTTGAACTTTAAATTGGTTTTAGTGTTAAGTATGTATATAGCCGAATTAGTTGTCATTGATTTTCCATTTGACTTATTATTTGATATTTTATCAAGAGGTGAATGAGGGTCGAATGTAATTTGATTTTTACAGTCGTAACAAAATTGGACAACTATTTGGCTCCACATTTTTAAGGGAACAAAATGGGACAACTATTTGGTTCCCATACTTTTGTCCTGTTTTTCCAGCAAAGTTCCATTTCGAATTCCTGTTTGTCCACTCCTAAATATGTTAATCAAACAAATGGGATTGAAAAATTATCCAATCAATCATTATAATATTGCAAAATGTAATCCTATTCCTCTATTTGTCTTAATCATTCAGACTTCTGGAAATTATACAATATTATGATTATTTTATAGTAGCTAGTATTTGAAACGACAAATAAACCAGAAGCTCCTCTGATTGTATAATTTTTTGTATTTTTTCCCCACACAAATGGATTCCGTGAAACATTCTTATTAATAATCCGGTTATAACAATTTACAGGAAATAATTATCGAGGAAACGTGTCCTCACAGAAACTGGGATTGTGACATTGTGAAGTCCATCACTCCAAGTCAAACTTCCAAAGTAAAACGCAGAGTTCGCTCTGTGTGAGCCCGAAGACACACTCACCGTAAACGCAACCTTGTTGGTTCCTTTGTTAAACACTAACTTGTCTGGTGAAACCTTGATGTCGAATCCAAGCGGAGCCTCGATCACGGGCTTGTAAACCGAGTCAACGTTTCCAACGTTGGTTACGGTTCGCGTCACTGTGATGTTGTTACCCTTGAGGCTCGGGATGGTAATAGACGGTACGTTGAGGTCAAGAATCGATGAACCTGAGCTCGGACACTTGTTAATGACGTTTCCGGTTAGTGCAGAAACTCTCTTGTCTGTGTAAGAAGCTTCGGAACATAAGTAATGTATGTAATCATTGATGTCCATGTCGTAAACAAGTCCAGGATCCGTGGCTTTCTCCAGATTCACAAGACCACCTCCATAATCGAATGCATCGGCTAGCTTATGGGTCGATCCATCTGCAGTTAGAGGCACGCCGTGTGGGTCGGTTTTCATGGCTGAAACACGGAAACTTTGTGGTCAATTTTCTGAGTTGGTTGTACTGAGAAAAAGAGTCTCAAAGAGACTTATATAAACTAAACCAACCTGTTGTGACAAGAGCTGATTTGATAATAGCAGGAGACCAATCAGGATGCGAAAGCTTGAGGAGTGCTACGATTCCTGCAATCACCGGAGTTGCCATTGATGTTCCTGCGTAAGCGAATTCTCTGGTGTCTTCGTCTGTCGGTATTTTAGGTGTTGCTAAGGTCACACCAGGAGCTGCTATATCCGGCTGCATTACACGGAAAAGAAAGTTGACAGAATTAAAAAAAAAAAATCTAGATTAAGTGATCCAAAATTAAAAGCTTAATGATGAAACAAAACCTTAAGAATGGCGGGTGAAAATGAACTAGGCCCTCTCGCCGATGATGCTCCGACTTTACTTGCTACACTTTCACCAATTATTGTCTTATACGGGCCTATCTTAATCTTTGGTGGCCTAAAAGAAAAACCAAAAGATTCAGATTCTCATATGTAGGAAGATGAGATATGAATTTGACCGAGAGATGTTTGTGAAGATAAACCTCCTGGTAGTTTCCATGTAGTAATATATCTGGGCTCCAATGTCGTAATCCAAGTGGATACAGGGAAAGTTCTCGGGGCATTCAAAACGTTCTATCGGATTGTTCACATAAATTACACCGATAGCACCATTTTCCTGAACAATGTCTGGCATAGGCATAGGCATAGGATTTCCGTTCGTCTTAGCTTCAAAGTACATCACGACTTTACCCTTGATTTGATCAACACCATGATCTCTAGAAAATATCACATCAGTGAAGCCAATTTCTGGTCCTGCGTACCGACTCTCACCCTGAAAAACAGATACTTTTTTAACTTATCAATCACAAGCTTTTGCATCGTTAAGAGAATTTCAAAGTTTATAAGCTGTATGTTACCAGCAACGTTTTATTGTTCTCGAGTGTAACCGATGCGGAGAAAGACCGGTCAAGAGTAGTCGCAGCCACTGTTAATATCCATGGAGAAACGTTAATAACCGATGCACTGCGAGATCCTCCGTTACCAGCTGGTGAAACAACAGGAATGCCTTTATTCACGGCGTGTAATGCTGGGATTGCGATATCGACTTCAACGTCAAGAGATTTAATCTCTACTGAGCCGCCGATAGAAACCGACAAAACATCAACACCGTCGTGAATGGCTTCATCAAAAGCTTTCCATACATCAGCAACTGAACACTTTCCTCCTTCCACATCCCAACACGCTTTATACATCGCTATATGCGCCTTAGGAGCGGCACCTCTCATGGTTGACGCGTATGAGAGGCCTGGCAGAGTCACATTAGAAACGAAAGAGCCAGCTACTGTTGAGGATACTTGAGTCCCGTGGCCATTGTGATCTCTAGGAGATATATGTTCTGAACTCGTGTTCATACTTGTTCTGAGATCTGCATTAAGACCATCAATGTAGTACTTAGCTCCAATAAGCTTTCTGTTGCAATCTGCAGCACTGAACTGGTCCGCAGATACGCATTCTCCTTTCCAATGTTTTGGTATCGGTCCATATCCGTTGTCATCAAAGGCGCCTGATTCTGACCATATCCCTGCTCACATAACGTCGAGATTGTTATCCTTCCTGCTACAAAAAGTTGAAAACGAAACAAGTTTATAGAGTGATTGATAAAATACCAGAGTCAATAACGCCGATAATAGCTCCACTGCCCATGTTGGTCTCATTTAGAAGACCTTTAGAAGAAGCTGGAGTTGAAAAAAGGCCTAGGTAATCCCATGTCCGTGTTGTTTGCATCACAAGTTTTCGGTTTTCCAGAAGAATCATAACGTCAGGATGATCTAGTAGACAGAAATACAGAAAAATGGTTTATTAAAAACACATTCAGTGTTCTGAATTTTGAAGAACTCGTGAATCAGCGAGAAATATGTACTTTTTAATTTCTCAGCGTCGGCCGGTTTGAGCTTGGCTGCAAAGCCAGAAAATCCATGGTGATAACTGTAGACCATTGACTTATTGGCTGCTTCTTCGCTGTAACATATTATTCACATAAAAAATCATTCAGTTAAAACCACCTGCAGAAGCCAAGTTATAAACACAAGAATCTTCAATGCAACCACGTACTCTTTTACCTTCCAAGAACCGATTTCAGGATTTCAAGATGTGACTGAGTCACCAACCTAGGATCATCGTGTTTCCTTTCCCCCAAGTAAAATATATAAACCTAATTTTATCAGACAATTAACAAAAGCATAAGGAACTACAACAATTCTTTTGTTCTTCCCATATCTCAGACAATTAGATTACATACCGGAAACTCGGGGACGAAAGGCGGCGGCGGAGGGGGAGGCCCTGGAGTGTCCTGTAGAAGAACACATGAGCAATTAACGAATACTTCAGCAATTACAACAATCTTTGTTTCTTCCCATATCAAAATAAATCAATTAGACTACATACCGGGGGACCACCAGAGTCACCCCCGCCAAAATCAGGTTCAGGTTCCTCGGGGCCGCTAAAATCAGGTTCGGGCATATCAGGGCTTGCATGAGACGTCTCCAGAGGAGCAGGCTGTGGAGAGTCAGCCACCATTGGTGACTGAGGAGGACCGGCCTCGTGAGATGTTGTTGCAAAGCTAAGCTTTCCATTTATGATTAACACAAAACCAAATGCTATAACCACAAAACACAATCTAAAAGAAGGATCCATTTTCAGAGTTTTTTTCACTCTGAAAACGTTTCTTCTTTGTTATTGAGACAGAAACTGCTTAGAGAACATTCTCCAGGATTTTTCTTGTTTTTATAGACAGGTATCCAATGTGTTTAAGCTAAATTGATTAACAACCTTTGGTTCCAAAAACTGGCAGAATAACCAACCAATACGCATACTAATTGTATCTTGCAGAAAATAAACGTTGTAACTACTAACAGCAAAAAAAAAAAGGGTGTCATTGTCCTGACGATTAAGCACCAGCTAAATTTAGAACATAATTATGACAACTATAGTTACAGTAAAATTGGAATACTAATCATGAGATGTGTGTAGAGGTGGCAGAGAGAGAGAGAACAAGATGCAAATTCAGTGTATAGATAAGAATGGCATCTAGTTAAAATGAACTAATGATGGTAGGTAGAAATTTATGTCTCTTCTATATTTATCAAAATGATAAAACAGAGAAGTTTCTGCCAAAATAGTAAAAGACATAATTGCAGAACTGATGTCCTGGGTTCATAGCTTAAAGGATAATGAACTGTGTTACTTTATTTTTCAAGTGTTTTAGTCAGTGAAGCTTTAAATCATACGAGATAAACAAGCCTTACGTACATTACTTGACTAGGTTGTATACATTCTGAGAGATTTAGGAGATTGACCAAGATACTATGAGATCACCGTCCCAGATCACGATATTCTCCTAAACATTTTCTTTCTTACAGCATCAAAAGAAGCACATAACATAGACAGATACGACATAATACATAAGAAACTCACACAGGTTTTAGATGTAGTGGCAGAGGTATTATTTTAAAACAAGAAGTAGGAGGAACTGAGAACGGATTGGTGATCTTTGCCCAGATGACGACCACGGAGGCACTCGAGATCCATAATCTGAGAATGATCCACATAGAGATTCACCTGAAAACCCAAGAACAAATACACGGGAATCTTGTGAGCGTAACTATTTAAACAGAGAGTGAGAAATGATAGAGAGGAGAATCAGCAAATACATTTGGACCGTAACGTTTGATAAACCACTCAGCTAACTTCGCATCAGATGCTTCAAACATAGTCTTCTCTATTCCAAGACGTCCTATGACTTTGGCTATTATGTCTGCTCGGAGAGAATCTGCATATCTGCAGACATCATCTGCATCAATCATAATGGTGTCTGCCCCGGCTTCTAAACACCTTTCAGCCTTTCTGATCAAGAGATCAATGTCCTCAACAAATTCTGAAAAAAGAGAGGATATTCTCTTAGTATACATCCAAATCTGAAAACTCTTGTCGCTCATCTGCCGGAAAAGACCATGTTTCTTACCCGTTGATCGAGGTTCTGGAACAACATAGGAACCAAAAGCCCTATTCTTCCCAGGAATATCAGACTTGTTGACTTTCACAGCAAACATTGGTTTGGCTCTGAGACCACCGTTCTTAATCAGACGTACATATCGTAGAAGTGTTTCCTCCGGAACTTCAAGCGAATTCGCATTCAGCTCGATAGTATCGAACCCCAACTCCTTACACTCCTGCAAAAAGAAGACAAGTAAGCTCGAAAGGTACCTAATTTTTCTTTAGTGACAAACTTTTCCTAATGGATAAATGGATGTTATCATCTAAAAATAGCTTTACTTACCTCGACATACTCTTTGAAAGCTGAAGGACCACTACGAAGAACATGTTCAGCCCAATCTCCAGTGCTGACATACACATCGTGTTCATGAGCCATTTCAATGGCTTGTTTGATGAATGATTTTGGAATTAAACTGTTGGAGCCTCCCGAGAACTTTAACCCATCAACAAATTGTCCCATCGATTCAAAAATCTCCTGAAACACGATTGGTTACCCGTAAGAGTACTTATCAGAATCCGGTGAACACATTTCTTACTCTCAAGCGAATCGTGCTTCACAGTGAATTCATGAACTGTGAGCTTAAATCGGTTCAATTTTCTTCAGAAACTATGTATCCAAGGATCGTTTTTCAAGTAATGGTGATGAAATTTGGAAGAGAAGCTAAAGGAATTATCATTGCTGGGTACCTGAAGAACATTCTGGCTGAGAACGGAGTAACGAGGACCTCGCATCTCCGTAACACCATAACGGCGAGGCTTCTCCGGCCGATCTTCGTTCTCCTCGAAGCTCTTCCAACTGTAGTGAGTAGCCATTCTCTCTGTTCACTTCTTCGTCCTCGAAGCTTCTCCGGCCGATCATGGTTCTTCTCAGAAAAGACAAAAATAAAATAAAGCAGACGAAGAATGGAGCTGCTTCTAGAGAGACGTGCCACGTCATCACCGCCTTCTCATGTTTTTGCAGCGTTAATTTTTTCAACGTAGCCACGTCGTCGACAACGAGACGTGTGAAGCCTGTTTGATTGGGCCTTTCAGCCCATCTTAATTTATTGGGTCACAGAAACTGGAAAACGCGAATTTTGAACTAAGCGTTTCAAACCGCAAAAGTTCTGTTCTTCTTTGCTTGGCTGCTCTGTCAAGAATCCGAATATTAAAAAGGTTTTTATTATTAACATGGAAGGGAGGAATAAAGAACACATGCAATTAAGTAACTGGCTAAAGAAAAACACATGCACTTAAGCCATAAATAATCTATTTGAGGAAAGCCAAAAATAATCTATTTGAGGACTTTGTCATCAATAAATTTCATGAATGCTTCAATATGATTTTGTTCTGTGACGAAAATTTAAATTTTGATTCTCTCATGAATAATAAGTTTAATGCATTATTTGTCCTTTAAAAGTTAAAATTTTAGTAGAAAAGGGAGTTTTACATCAAGGATCACAGCTAAACTTTTATTCTCTAACGTGGTCTGTAGTAAATGTGCAAGAAAAGAGACATATGTTCAACTTTATTCTTATTCCCTCCTAACCTAGAGAGTCTCATAAATCTTAAATCTAATTGCCCATAAATACAAGAACAAGTTATTACTCCAACAACAATCCTTTCTGCTTCTTTGTTTGCTTGTAAGAACTTGTTTCATTGAAGATCATCAAAGCTGTAAGAAGCAAAATGGCAAGGAATGTAGGGTTCTTCATCTGCTTCTTGATCATAGCAATGGATGTTTCGGCTGGAATTCTAGGCATTGAAGCCGAAATAGCACAGAACAAGGTACATTACACACTATACACCCACAAGTCAATAAGAGTTGCAGATTTCACTAATATCTTTGTTATATTGGATGCAGGTGAAGCATTTAAAGATGTGGATATTCGAATGTAGAGACCCGAGTTACACAGCCTTCAAGTACGGCTTAGCTGCATGTATCCTTTTGGCATTAGCCCATGTAACGGCTAATTTGCTTGGTGGGTGTCTCTGTGTTGTCTCAAGACAAGACCTTGAAAAATCTTCTGCCAATAAACAGCTCGCTGTGGCTTCTCTGATATTCTCCTGGTAAGTCCAAACACTACATAAACAAATGCAATATGTAAATCCTTCCTTCTTGTGACGGAGAAGAAACTTGCAGATAGATTCATTTCAGGATATTTTTTTTATGTTTTTTTTTCAGGATCATATTGGCAATTGCATTCTCATTGTTGATCGTAGGGACCATGTCAAACTCAAGATCAAGGAAAGCTTGTGGGATTTCTCACCATCGGGTTCTGTCCATAGGAGGAATCCTCTGTTTCATTCACGGCCTTTTTGCTGTTGCTTATTACATCTCTGCAACTGCTTCAAACCGAGAGCAGACACACACAGGACATGCTTAAAAAAAAAATTTGTAGACCACATTTTCAATAAATTTGAAAAAGTGTTTACATTTGACTAATATATATACACCTCATTTTCTATACTATGTTTGGATCTACCGTTCCTTTCTCTGTGAATCTTCAAGCTGGATTTAGTTTTCTTGATGACTGTGGATGCATTGGAAGGTAAGGCTCTGGAACATACCCTTCTAGCTTCAGCTCTTCAAGAAGTAAGCATAGCAAAGAATAGATATGAGAATACTCGGGATGATTTTCATCGCCAGAAACAAAACAATGAGTTAGCTTGTTGATGTCGATCCAACTTGAACCAGGAACTTTCTCAACTCCTCTCTCTTTCATTAAGCTCCTTGCTTTAGTCACACCTCCCCATTGTCCAGCGTTAGCATGTGCATTAGAAATCAAAACATAATAACCAGAGTTCTGCGGATCCAACTCCATTAACATGCTCGAAGCAACTTTAGCAAGTTCGACATTCTTGTGAAGACGACAAGCTCCAAGTAACGTTCCCCAAACTCCTGCATCTGGAGAAAAAGGCATCCTCTTAACGGTTTCATAAGCTTCGTTTAACCGACCAGCTCGTCCAAACAAATCAACGACGCATGCGTAATGCTCTTGCTGCGGTTGGATTCCGTAATCCTCAGTCATGATTTTGAAGAAACGAACTCCTTCGTTCACATCTCCAACGTGACAACACGAAGATATCATCTCAAGAAACGTGATTTGATCAGGAGAAACTCTGTTATCTTCAACCATTTCACGGAATAGACAGAGTGAATCTTGTAGCCTCCCGTGGTTTCCATAAGCAGCGATGATGCTATTCCAAGAAACAATGTTCTTCTCTTTCATCGTCTCAAACACATTTATGGCGGATCTTAGGTTTCCACATTTAGCATACATACCTATCAATGTACTCTCGCTATACACATCAGAACCAACTAAATGCTTTAACATGAAACAGTGAATAGCTTTCCCAAAACTTTGTGAAGGCAAGTTGGCACAAGCAGAGAGAACGCTTGAAATACTAACACAATCAAAACCGATTCTTGAAACTCCCATTTCACGGAAAATATCAACAGCTGCACTCGGATTATCACTCTGTGCACAACGTGTGATCATTGAATTCCACGCAACAATATCTTTCTCAGAGAGTCTTCCAAAAATTTCATGAGCAAGATCCATTCTTCCACACTTTGCATACATGTCGATAACAGCGCATCCAATATTGCACCTCTTATCGAAACCTTTCTTGATTATGAAACCATGGAGTTCCCTCCCGAGTTTCAAGGCTAGCAAACCGCCTATTACCGGTAGAATAGACACCAGAGTTATCTCATTTGGGCTCATTTCTACACTAACCAGCCACCTAAACATCTCTAACGCATCAACAATCAAGCCATTATGCAAATAACCAGAGATCATTGCAGTGATCACAACAACATCGACTAAGTTACACTGGCTGAAAATCTTTTGTGCCATAGAAACACCCCTACACTTGAAATAGGCATCAATAAGAGCACTAGTTAAGAATATATCCAGCGGTATGCTATGTCTCATAATGTAACAATGAATTTGCTTACAATACTCAAGGTTTTCAAACCTAGAAATGGATGGAAGCAAACTAGAAAACGTAATGGCATCAGGCAAGACACCTGAAGATATCATCTCAAAGAAAAACACTAAGCTTTCTTCCATTAGTCCACTCTGAACATATCCAGAGATCATGCAATTCCATGTCACCGTATCAGCACGAGACATCATCCGAAACAACTTACACGCATCATCAAAAAGCCCACATTTTGAATACACAGACAAAAGTGAGTTTTTGATAGAACCTTCAAAGTCTAATCCAGAAACGACCGTTAGACAATGAAGCTGAACTCCGAGATCAATCAATGACTTAGAGGCACACACCGATAAAACACAATCGAAAGTGACAGCATTGGGACTAATCTGATCCATCCTCATTGCACTAAACCCTTTTATAACGCTACACGAAGCTCCCCACTTTGCATACCCTTTAAGCATCACATTCCAAATCACACAATCTTTCTTACTTACTTTATCGAATAATCCACTCGCCACATCGATCTTTCCATACTCTAGGTAAGCATTAATCAGAGAACTCGCCACAAACTCATTACAATCCATACCAAGAGAAGAAACCGTATAGCGAAAGAACTCAATCCCTCTGAAATTCTTCAAAGCAACACAAGCCTTGACGAGACAAGGGAAAGTGGATACATCAGGACTAACTCCATAACATAGCATCTTGAAGTAAAAGGACAAAGCTTTATCCAATAAACGCATTCGAACGAAACTGCTGATAATCGAATTCCAGGGCCTGATGCTACCACGACGCAAATCAAGTCTGTAAAACAGTTTACCACAATCCGAAAAGCTGCCACACATTGCATACATACCCAAGATCCTCTCAGCCATGTAGCTCTCAGAGGAAACTCTGTTTACGATTAGAAAGGCGTGAACTTGCTTACCTTGACGAAGCAGAGTTGAGTCAGAGCAGGACTGTAAAAGTAATGTGAGTCGACGAGGGAGAGATTCTACGAGATATTGAGACGAATATTCCATTGGAAGGGACTTGTACGGAACGATTGCCGGCGCGAGCAGCCTAGCGGCTGATGAGATATTCATGGCCGGAGAAATTACTACATAGAATCTCAATCACTGTCTGCTTTCGATCAGCAGAGAAAAGAGGACAGAATAGTAAGAATAAACTAATCAAGGAATAATTGGTCTTGCCATCGGGAACTCACTGAGTCAGCAGGTAACCGCCGATGACGACGGCGAAGTGGCCGGAGAAAGAATTAGGGCAGACGAAGAACTACGAGTCCGAATTATTTAGGCCCAATTAAAGCAAAATCAATTACACTGTTTAAACTCGGTTTATGTCCGGATTACTTCTATTTTCCTTCTCTTTTTTTTTTCTTTTCAATTTGGCTTATATTCAATTTTTTACGTATCAGAAAGAAAAAAACGAGGGAATTATAAAATTTTGATTACGTATAATGTGCACCATATCAATAGTCATCCTTTCTCTTTTTTTTTTTCTTGTCATTGAGTCCATTAACTATAAATTTGAGATAATCAAGTCATTTGATTGAAAAAAAAATGTCAAACATCGTATTCCAGCAAAACATCTTACAAATTTAAAATTGATATTGATTGGTAATAACCGTTGAGGTATAGTGAATTACCATTTATTGGTAAATCTTGAAACACAACTTCGGATTCAGAGATTTGATTCAAAGTACACAGGAACAAAAATCAAGAAATAATAATTTACAAAGAAAATTGCAGAATAATAAAAATGCTTAACCAATCTTGGCAAGAACATCGTTCAAAGTAGAGACTGTCTCTGAGTAATACTTCTCAGCATCCGGAGTACTCTTTTTCTTTGCCGCATAATCCAGCTGCCAGAAAAATCAACCATTTAAAAACATCCGATCAGACACAAAAACAAATAAACATTACAGAACCTTGATAACTGCTCTCGATAGATCTGTCCTAAACTGATCACTCACTGAAGAGATAGATTGCATGCATTTTGAAATTAATCAAGGGCCTTGGATTGAGAAACTTACACTGTTGATGGAATCGAAGAGCTTTCCAGTGAGGTCCTTGAGGGACTTCTTCTCATCCTTGGGTTTGGAGGAGATGATTGTGTTAAGGTCATAACGAAGATAAGAAGCCTTACTACGGAGATCATTCTGAACATAAGGCCAAGCCTTCTTATCGATCAAAGACTTCACATTTATGATATCTTTTGCAGATTCTTTGGCTCTAGCTACAGCTTCTGCTGGTGGCAATGGCTGCAAGTAAAATCTTTTTTTCAATGCCAATGAAAAGTCTCTTGCTTGGTCTGAGTTCTCTGTCCCAGCTGCTCAACAAACAAAAACACAAACTTTTAAGTGTTATCTATTTGATCTGATTCAATCTAAACCGAACCAAAATCTGAACTTCCATTAGGTTATAAAATCTAGCTTTTTTCTTTCTCGAACTAAACGGCTACATTTACGACAAAGTATTACTATTTGGTTAAATTTAAAGATTTTTCATCTAGATAATTTGGCTACATTACGTTTAGATTCTTAATCTCATACAAAATTGAGAGTGATAATATTTTTATTGAACGATTAGTGAGAGTTTACTTACGAAGACCACCGGAGGGAGGAGGAGGAGGGCCAATTTTGATCGGAGCAGCATCGGCGAGGACAGCCTGAACAAACGAGCCGCCGGCTAAACCAGCAGCCACAAGCCCAATCACAGACCGGCGAGTAGTCTCCGGCGCCGATTCACTCTGCTGAGCTCTGACGACAAGTCCAGCCCTTTGAGCCACCGCCACTCTGCCGGTGACGTTCAGACGGTTCGATCCGTTGATCTTTAAGCTTCCTTCAAGAACGGCGGGAGATGCGCCACGTAAGCCACCCATCGAAGCCATTTTTTTTTCTTTTTGGTTTCTCAAAGACGAAAAGTGAAGCGATGGTTATGGGTTATGCTCTTATATGGTTGGTTGGTTTTGGTTTCGGACAAAGAACGCCTTATCTGTCCTTGAGATTATTCGGATATGGTTCTAACCACTGATTTATAGCCACGTGTCATCGTGTTCTTTTTTTCTTGCCATGTTGAGATCGAGCAATTACACCGTTACGGTAAGGGGTATTGGGGTAAATGAAATATCTAGAACTAGTATCCAAATTGCTTGGATTGAGCTTATATGAACAAGAAAAACTATTATTACTTTTACAGAGGGGATCTGTTTTTGCTACCAAGAAAATATTTTGATTGTATTTTCCAACTTTCCTAACATCCATTTTCTAGCTTTGTCCAATTGATTTTTTTTACTAATTTTTTCCTAGTTTTATGAAAACAGGAATCGATTGTGGTTTGCAATGATGAGGTTATTGAGCAAAAAATATGTCTTTGTTTTTAACTATTTTTATGAGCTTGATTTATCAGTTATCATTCTTGTCCATTTGCAACCTCTTTCATTGCTTACAGAACATTAAATTTAACACAAAATATTACAGAACATCAGCTACTTAGCACGACACATAAACTGATGTTTCCAGTCAAGGTCTCAACTATAATTACATCCCCCAATTTATTAACTTTTACAAAAAAACATATGAACATTACAATGCCATCTTGCTCCAAATTTTCCTTCTTATATAGAAAGTAAAGTTAGAGCCTCTAATACGAAAGCAATAAAAAGAAGACGAATAAAGAAAACCGATGATCTTGTTTAGATCTCAGTTCTATTGTTGATGATCCAAAGATTCTTACGTCTTAACATGGCAGCTTGAAACCCATGTCCTTCCCTGCCACATAATCAGTCCATACATCAAGAGCTCCAAAACTAGTCATAAGGACTGTGCTCAGAGACATTACTGTTCCGACTGAGAACACGATAATGGAAGCTCTCCCAAACTGAGCTACTGCTTTCTGAACCAAAACAAGACCGAGAAGCGAGGCAAAGAAGCAAATCAAGGAAAACAAGTAAGCTGCTTCTGTGTTTTGCATTCCTAGTAACAAATATTGAACTGCTGACATCGTTGCTGAGAAGAACACCATGAATGAAGTTGTTGCTGCTGTTATCTGCATCAATCATATATTCAACTAAAAAAGTTGCCAAAACTTAGAAAATTTGGTGAAAAAAAAGTTTGATTTTCTTATATAATATATACCTGTGGTGGTATCCCGGCTTGGAGAAGAAGAGGGCTTATAAGCATTCCACCTCCAATACCGAATATACCGCCCAATAAACCGGCTAAAAATGACATTACCGGGAACATTAACCGCGTAGACTGGTCCAATCTTGTACCTTCTTGATTTTTCTGCTCATGTAAGATAGATAATGTTCAGTATATAATACTTTTCAATGAGTTCAATATGATTTGCAGCTAGCTGTTGCATTTTACCTGATTGCTAGGGGATCGTTCTTGGAGGCTTTCGGTTCTTGAGAGAGCTAGCTTTGTGAAGACCAAAGCAAGAGGTATTTGAAGTGAGAGTAGAATCCAATATTCCACACCACAAGGCTTTATCGATATGATTCCCTACACATAACATAACATATATAGAATCTGTCGCTTATTCTATAATAAAATCGATAAAATATATATATATATATATATTGATCGATGGAATTATATATCACTACCTTGCCATCTTTATTCCCGCGGAGAAGATAAATGACAAAGAAAGACGCCCAAACAACAATCAAGACTCCAAGTTTCGTCCATGGAAGCTTTGATTTGTGTCTATTGTCTTGAGCTTCAAGGAGAGGTGCTTTAAGGCTCTTAGTATCCTCCTCTGTTTCCCCTCTGCCTTTCTCTGGCCTCTCATGTACTTTCCCTCTCGCAATCTCAGACTCGATTTTCCAAAACTTGACTCCATTTCTACAAGTCTTCAAGCTAGACCAAGCGAGGAACACAGCGAAAAGAACAGTGATGAGCCACTCTGGCAAAACTCTGTTGCAGATAACACCAATACTCACTCCTAGAAGCATACACGGCTCAAGAAGCAAGGCTAAGTCGTAATCAAGCAATGCTTTGCCACCAAAGAGATTGTTCATTACATTCGCTATTGATCCACCGGTTACCATAAAAGCAGAGAAGCTTGAAGCTGTTTTCAAGTCTAGCCCTGCAACTATAGTCATGATTGGAATGAACAAACCTCCACCGCCAATTCCACCTGCGCTCGAGATTAAGGCAGCTAGGAAACATAAGAATCCAGCTACAATGATTGCTGAAGATAGCTTGAGTTCTGCAGCACTTGATTCTTTCAACGAAGTTCTCCATTGTTGGACTTTGTAGAGAATCTTATGAGATGTTGAAGGGTTCTCTTGATTGATCTCTTCTTGTTGATTCGCGTTGATCGTGAAAACACATAGAAGAAGAATAAGAAGGAAAACGAAAAGGGTCTTCATTTTCTTTATCTTAAAGCTTGAAACGTTTTTCTTGTTTGCTTTTGATCTAATCAAACCATTGTTGTTATTTATATTGAAGGTGTCAAAGAGTGGTATGCACATTTCATTGCAAGTTGCTTTCGGATGAGTAGGCTGCAAGCAATCTCGTTGACTTAAAAAACCTAAACAATGATATTTAAGATAGATTCATTGATTTACCTGTGATCTGTGGCTATATTCAGACGAAGAACAGTTCTAAGGAGAAGGTGAAGAAACAGATATTGTCTGAAACTGTGGAATGTTTCGTTTCAGATAAGGAAAAGAAACAGTTATTTAATGGTTTCGGATTTGACGTGGTGAATGATTGTATAATGTGTTTGATACTTGAGCCAAGTCTCTTTGCATTCTTTTATTTTCTAAATGAATAATCTGTATTAGCATTCTATTGTTTTTAAGATGGGGACAAGTAAGAAATAAGAAAGCGTCTTCTCTGAACTTCATGGAACATGAAAGATCCAGGTTAGTCAAATAATACTTTATAAAAACAATTAAGCTTGTTCTGGACTTTTAATTATATGACAGCCATTAGCCATATATGATATATCAATAATCTGATTTATGTTTTTAATTTATAGAATTTTGGTCATAGGTTTCGAGAAACGTCGAATGAAGAAAGAACCATGTTGTTGTCAGATTTTAGATTTACTCTGTTCCTCATTTATGAGCTTTTTCATCGTCTTTCATTGATGGCATCTGCTTCAATGTTTTACTCTTTTCTTCTTCTTCTTCATCTTCTTGACTTACGCTCAAGAAAACGTCACTGTTCACACCTTTTGCTTCTACGAAGGAAGAAACTTCACATCCAAGTATCCAACATTTCATATACTCTTAATCTCAACCGTCTGATCTCTTCACTCCAACCAACAACAGCTTCTTACAACATATCCACCGATGGAGAAGTCAACGCCATAACTTTATGCAGAGGAGATCTCAATGCAACGACTAGAAGTTGCTCTGTCTTGTGTTTATGAGCATCCCACGAAAAGACAAACAATAGATTCAGTTGTTTTCGATGCTTAGCTCTGATTCTAAGTCTCTCCAGCTCCCAAAGCCATTGCAGCCTGGTTTCTTTAGAAGATCAACGTCGTTTTCGATTTCTGTGAACGATGTTTCTCTCATAGATTTGTCTGCACGTTAAGTATATAAATAGATTGAAAAATTGCAGTTACACAATGTATAGAGTAGGTTCATTGATAATCCCTTAATTTAAAACCTTAAATGTATACTTTTTTAATGTTTCTCAAGTTTAAAGCTTTTTTAATTGGGGAAAACAAGTAAAGTTTCGGACTTTAAAGACAAACCCAGCTCCTTCAAATTTTCTTCTCCATTTCTGTGACTATGGCGGCCACTCTTCGGAGATTAACATCCGATTCCGTACGTAATTCTCTTAAAGGAACCTTCTTGAGCAAACCCTTTATCCCGAAGCAGCTTCGTCTTCCTTGGAGTTCTCGAAGTTTATCTGATTCCTCATTTGGTTCTGCGACTGCTGATGTTTGTCCAAATGCAGGTGAGTATAGTTGCGGATTTCTTCCATATTTCGAACTATATTGGCATTAAGTTCGATAAATTTTATTCGGGACACCAAGTGTTTGTGGAAATGCCTCTGAGAGCATACGACTTCATGTAACTTTGGAATACAAAATTCCAACAACCCGTATATTTTCAGTATATTCAGATCAATTGATTGTATTAGATATAGTTTTGCTTTAGAAATTACAGGTTTAAGATTTTCACAGAATGATGATGAGACAAAGCTAGCTGAAAGTTAAAAGCCAAATAAATACAGAAGTTAAGCCTTTCCATAATTTTTGAGATGTACTAACACTGAATGTGTATAAACTGAGCCATTACTGCATCTTAACTCTCTAAGATGCTATTTCGACATTTTGGTAGTTGAAACTAACTGTAAATCGTGCAGTTGATTGTTATCAAGGGTCAGAGACCGGTGGTGTTATTGTCAATGAAGGGTTTCTGAGATGGAGAAATGGAGGAGGGACATGTCATAGCTCGGCTGTAATTGATTCATCGGCTTTGGTTGAGTTTGGCGCGGTGGTTCATGAAAAAGCGGTCTTAGGTCCAGAGGTTCACGTAGGATCCGGGACTGTAATTGGACCATCAGTCAAAATCGGTCCTTCCACAAGAATCGGGTAACATTCTTGCACATGGTTCTAATAGATTGTTGTTGTATACAGCGTCTTTAAGGGATTCTATTTGCTGTTTCGTTTTGTATCCAGATATAATGTTTCAATCAGCAACTGTAGTATTGGTGAGTCATGTGTCATACACAATGGAGTCTGCATAGGTCAAGATGGTATGAACCAACTCATATAAGATCAACAGATATAATAGACTTGTCTGAGTTTAGGTCTTTTACATGTTCATATGTTTCTCTTTCAGGCTTTGGTTTTTACATTGATGAACATGGAAACATGGTGAAGAAGCCTCAAGTAGGAAACTTCTATTTTATTTCTTCAATCTGATCCAACAATTCGCGTCATTTTTCTTTTTCTTTCTTTCTTTGTCATCTTTAGACCTTGAACGTAAACATAGGAAATCGTGTGGAAATCGGTGCTAATTCTTGCATTGATCGAGGCAGGTAACATATTTGAATCTATTAACTAACTTCCATAAGAACACCATTCGTGGTTTCACTTGCTTTGTATAACAAGTTCTGCAGCTGGAGAGATACAATGATTGAAGATGATACGAAGATAGACAACTTAGTTCAGGTTTAGCCTCTTTTGTTTTTTATTTTTTTTTATTTTTCGGCTTTTTAATTGAGAAAATAACATGATACTTATTTACTTTCTTGTATTTTTGCAGATAGGTCACAATGTGATAATTGGAAAATGTTGCTTGCTCTGTGGTCAAGTAGGCATCGCTGGTTCAGTAACGTACGAATCTGAACCCTTTTTGGTTCCATTGAAAGGAACAATTTTTTTGAAGTTTTTCAAGACTCAAAAAGTCAAAAAAACTTTTTCTGTAGAATTGGTGACTATGTAGCTTTAGGAGGACGAGCTGCTATTCGAGACCATGTCTCCATTGTAGCTAAGGTAATAATTGGCTTTATCCGGTTTTTTTTTTTTTTTTTTTTTTTAAAGTGGTTCTAGGTGCGGTTTAGGTGAACAAAACATCTTTTTGTGTTTAGGTTCGATTAGCGGCTAATACTTGTGTTACCAGAAACATCACTGAGCCAGGAGATTATGGAGGCTTTCCGGCTGTAAGTAATCTCTAAGTTAATCTGTAACATTTCAATTTTCATCAAGAATCCGTAAAAGCATTAACCCAAATTGATCGATATCCATCTAAAACAGAGCTGAAAAATGGATTTCAAGAAACTGATATGAAATTTTCTTTTAGAGATGAGGAATTGTGGTCTCTTATAAATTATTTTGTTCCGACTTCAGGTCCCAATTCACCAGTGGAGAAAGCAGATTGTTCAAGATCGGATTTCGAACAAGAGGAAAACCTGAATCAGAGATAATAAAATTGAGTATTTGTTATGTAATTTGATTAGAGTTTTCATTAATTTTTCTTAGTGTTTTCCGTATTATGAAGGTACATTTATCAGTAATCTAATGAAAACAAAATAATCAATCAGACGGATATAATTATATAAATGTATAAACACGAAGCTTGAAAACAATTTAAACAACAATCAAGTTTAGATGATTGGTGTGAATTCTGATCTACATATTTTCATATTAAAGATGCAAATAAAAATAAGTGAAGATTGTAGCTAAACAATGATTAATGGCTACAAAATATAATGTATTATATAGTTTCCTTTCTCGTGCCAACTTTAGACAATTTTGTGAAGAAAACCAGAAAACTTGGACTCTTTCTAGTAAAAGTCATATTCTGATCCCATTGTTAATCAAGGTCGATCTTTCTTCTCCATCTTGACCGTACAATCCGTACAAGATCATCTTGAAGACCTTAGGTTACTTCTGCATCAAGCAAAGAGATGTCTTTCCCTCTAAGCTTCTCTCTTTATGACCGTTTGAATCTCTAAAGAAGAAGAGGTGCCTCCCTTATCTATATGACCGTTGTACATATAAGACAAAAAGTGCTTTTGCTTTTTCTCTTTTGCTTTTCCCTGATTTGGAGAATAGCTTAGGTATCTATTTAGCATATTCTTTCTGTTTTTACTTTATATACCTGTATACAGCTGTAATAGCTCTTATGAAATGAGAATGAATCTCTTTCTCACTACTCTCTCTAGTCTTCATCGTGTTCTTCACTAATCTTTCAATACAATCTCTCTAAATCTCTTAATCCTCTCTTTAATCCGCTGTTAATCTTACATTCTCTCATGGTATCAGAGCCAGGTTCCTGAATCTGGTGGTTTATTTCTCTCATTCTCTCGAATCTTATCTCCAAAATCTCTTGTTCTTCATTCTAAACCCAGAAAACGTCCGTACTAAACTCTGTTCTTGCGAAAGATTCAAACTTTCTTCTCTCTTTGTCTCTAAGCTTTCGACATGGAAGGAAACAAGATTCAGGCTCTACCTATTGTTCTCAAAGGAGCAGACAACTATCTGTTGTGGGCAAGAACAGCAAGAGCTGTACTGTGTGGAAGAAAGCTATGGCATCATGTTGAAGATGCAAAGAGTGGCGAGTCCAAAGAAGGAGGAAAGAAACCGGCTGTGACTGATTCTGATGAATGGTATCAGGAGGACCAGGCGGTTCTAGCTATTCTCCATGGTGCTTTGGATATCCCTGTGTTAGAATCCTACTCCTATTGTGAGAGTGCAAAGGAGCTGTGGGATACCCTGAAGAATGTGTTTGGGAACACATGTAATCTCACCAGAGTTTTTGAGGTTAAGAAGGCAATAAACAGCCTCCACCAAGGAGATCTTGACTTTAACACCTTCTTTGGTAGATTCAGATCTCTCTGGGCCGAGCTTGAAATGCTGAGGCCATCTACTGTTGATGCTGAGACACTTAATGAAAGAAGAGAGCAAGATAAGGTCTTTGCTCTTCTCATGGTTCTAAACCCAACTTACAATGATCTGGTGAAACACATGCTCAGATCCAAGACTCTGCCTAGCCTGGAGGAGGTTTGCTCTCAGATCCAGAAAGAACAAGGTTCCTTGGGTCTCTTTGGGAACAAAGGAAGCGACTTGGTGATGGCTAACAAGAGTGAAGCTGTAGCGGCCAACAAGGGTTCTTATGGTGGTGAGGAGCGTGAAGTGTGGATATGTGAGCACTGTAAGAAGAAGGGTCACTTGAAGAACAAGTGCTGGATCCTGTACCCACATCTCAAACAAAACCGCAAGGACCAGAGGAAGCCAAGGGCGAATGAAGCTCATGAGGAGGTGGGTCCTTCAGATCGTGAGAAGGAAGGGGTTGCTATGAGGGCCTCAGCTGAATATGTGAAGAAATCAGACCTGGACGCCCTCATCAAGGCTCTTAAAGAGTCTGGTAAACCGATTAAAGCCTTTAGCTTTCATGCACATGATCCGAACTTGACTAATCAAATTGCTAATACTGTTGTGCATGAGCATTCTTTAGAAAATCATTCTGCTAATCATGTCTTGAAAAGTGATAAACCGCTTATTGTTGACTCTGGAGCTAGCCATCATATGATTAGTGATGTTAAATTGATTAGTAACATGAAACCTGCAGTAGGAAATGTGATTATTGCTAATGGTGAAAAGGTTAAGATAGAAGGCATTGGTGATCTTAAGTTGTTTGATAAACAATCTAAAGCTTTTTATATGCCCTCATTCACATCTAATCTGTTGTCTATTAAGAAAGCAACTACTGATTTGAACTGTTATGCTATATTCAGTCCTAATGAGGTTTTCTTTCAGGATATTAAGTCAAGTAAGCTTCTTGGACAAGGAACTACTAAAGATGGGCTTTATGTTCTTGAAGACACTAAGCCATCTTCTCTATCTAATGCTTTTGTTTTTAGTTCTGTTGTTGAAAATAATGCATTGTGGCATGCTAGATTGGGTCATCCCCATCATAGGTCTTTGAATCTGATGTTACCTGATGTTAAGTTTGATAATAATGCTTGTGAAGCTTGTATCTTGGGTAAACATTGTAGAACTGTTTTTCCTAAATCATCTACTATTTATGAAAATTGCTTTGATTTGGTTCACTCTGATGTATGGACTTCTCCATGTATGTCTAGAGAAAATCACAAATACTTTGTTACCTTTATTGATGAGAATTCTAAATACACTTGGATAACATTGTTGCCATCTAAAGATAGGGTGCTAGAGGCTTTTATGAACTTTCAAAAGTATGTAACTAACCATTATAATGCTAAGATCAAAGTGTTTAGATCAGATAATGGTGGAGAATACACAAGCCAAGCCTTTAGACAACACCTTATTCAACACGGCATTGTCCATCAAACAAGTTGTCCTTATACTCCTCAGCAAAATGGAGTTGCTGAGAGGAAGAACAGGCATCTTATGGAAGTGGCCAGGTCCTTGATGTTTCATAGGAATGTTCCTAAGAGGTTTTGGGGAGATGCTGTAGTCACAGCCTGTTATCTCATCAATAGACTCCCTACAAGGATCCTCCAAGATGCTTCCCCATTTGAGGTATTAAACAAGTCTAAACCATCGATTGATTACCTAAAAGTATTTGGTTGTGTTTGCTTTGTATTAGTTCCAGGAGAACAAAGGAACAAGCTTGAGGCTAGAAGTACAAAAGGGATGTTCATTGGCTATTCTAGTAACCAGAAGGGCTACAAGTGTTACATCCCCGAGACTAGGAGGGTTCTAGTGTCTAGAGATGTGAAGTTTATTGAGGATAAGGGCTTCTATGAGGAAAGAAATTGGGAAAATCTGAAGGATCTTCCCCATTCCAACTCAGATAGGGCAGCTACTCTCAGAATTCTACTTGAGACCTTAAGAAATGATGGGGGCACACCAACAGGTTCAGCCCCAGCTGAATCTGCTCAAGATCAGGTGGATCCACAGCCATTAGAAGAGGAATCTGAGACTGAGACCGAGGCCCCTGGTGAGGAAATGGAAAATGACCAAGTGATTCCACCAACTCAAGAAGAACCTGAGCTAGGCGTGGATCACACTCAAGAGGAATCAGTTCCCACAGAAGAAGAACCGGCTGTTCAAGAGCTTAGAAGGAGCCAAAGGATCAGAAAACCGGCTTCTAATTGGATCAACACTAGAGTCTACTACAATAATCAAGCTATAGCTCATCCAACTCAAGCAGTGTGCTCTCTAGCCCATGTTCCTCAAGAACATCAAGTGTTCATAGGAGTCTTAGATCAAGAAGAGGTTCCAAGGACTTATGATGAAGCAAAGGAGCACAAGGTGTGGCTTGATGCTGTTACTGATGAAAAACAGGCTATGATTCGGAATCACACTTGGGATGAAGCTGATTTACCAAGAAAGAAGAAAACTGTGAGCTCTAAGTGGGTATTCACTATCAAATACAAGAGTAATGGGGAGATTGAGAGGTACAAGGCAAGACTGGTGGCTAGAGGTTTCACACAGACCTATGGGGAAGACTATAGAGAGACATTTGCTCCTGTTGCTAAGCTCCATACAGTGAGAGTTATTCTCTCTCTTGCTACAAACCTAGAGTGGGAATTGTGGCAAATGGATGTGAAGAATGAGAGAATATATAGATTAGCAGCGGATAAGAGATGATTAAGAGATTAAGAGATTGTGTGACTCAGGGCAAGGTTTTGAAGCTGAGAAAGGCAATCTATGGCTTGAAACAGTCACCAAGAGCTTGGTATCGGAAGCTAAGTGTTACCCTCTTAGATCGTGGGTTCCGAAGATCTGAGACTGATCACACTCTCTTTACACTTCAGAGCCAAGCAGGTATCATAGTTATTCTCATTTATGTGGATGATTTAATCATCTCAGGGAATGACAAGGTTGGAATTCAGGAAACTAAGGACTATTTACATTCTGTTTTTGATATTAAAGACCTTGGTGAACTAAAATACTTCCTTGGGATTGAAGTGTGCCGAGCTAAAGAAGGTCTTTTCTTGTCCCAAAGGAAGTATGCTCGAGATATTGTTCATGATGCAGGTCTTAAGGATGCAAAACCGGCTAGAACTCCATTGGAGGATGCATATAAAGCTCACCAACAGGGGGAGAATGAAGCTGAAAGTCTCTTTGATGATCCCAAGCTATACAGAAGAACAGTTGGTAAGCTTATATACCTCACAATAACTAGACCTGACTTGTGTTTTGCTGTGAATCAGGTGAGCCAACATATGCAAGCCCCAAGCTTATATCATTGGAACATGGTGAACCGCATTCTGAGATATCTCAAAGGAACCTTGGAGCAAGGGATATGGATGGGATGCAATGGAAGCTCAGAAATAGTTGGATATTGTGATGCTGATTGGGCCGGTGACAGAACTGATAGAAGATCCACAACCGGCTATTGTACTTTCATAGGAGGAAACTTGGTGACTTGGAAGAGCAAGAAGCAGAAGGTTGTGTCTTGTTCAAGTGCAGAAGCCGAGTATAGAGCTATGAGAAGACTTACAACCGAGTTGATGTGGCTGAAGATGCTTCTCTCAGATCTTGGAATAGAGTTCTCAAAGCCGATTACTATGCATTGTGATAACCAGTCTGCAATTCACATTGCATCAAACCAGGTGTTCCATGAAAGAATAAGCACATTGAGGTGGATTGTCACAAAGTAAGGGAACAAATGGAGCTGGAGTCATTTTACCATGCTATACAAGAAGCTCTGATCAGTTGGCTGATATTTTTACCAAGGGAACAAGCTTGAAGACCTTGGAGTTTATCAGTGAGAGATTGGGGCTTATGAGTCTCCAAGGCTCTGAATTCCCTAAGTGAAAGAGCTCACACTCTTTTTCCCCAAGTATGGTTTTGTCCCATTGGGTTTTCCATACTTAGGTTTTTTTAATGAGGTGAGTTTCCTAACTTCCAATCTAAGCCTTCATATTCTCTTAGGCTTAGCTTGAGGGGGAGTGTTAATCAAGGTCGATCTTTCTTCTCCATCTTGACCGTACAATCCGTACAAGATCATCTTGAAGACCTTAGGTTACTTCTGCATCAAGCAAAGAGATGTCTTTCCCTCTAAGCTTCTCTCTTTATGACCGTTTGAATCTCTAAAGAAGAAGAGGTGCCTCCCTTATCTATATGACCGTCTTCTAAACTTGGGTTTACTTCTACAGCAAGCAAGAAGATGTCTTTCCCTCCAAGTCTCTCTTCTTGTGACCGTTTGAAGATAAAGGAAGAAGAGTCTCTCCCCTTATCCTCTTTATGACCGTTGTACATAAGGACAAAAGCTGCTTTTGCTTTTCACTACTCTCTCTAGATGTTCTTCACTAATCTTTCAATACAATCTCTCTAAATCTCTTAATCCTCTCTTTAATCCGCTGTTAATCTTACATTCTCTCACTAAGCATACAAATAAGAAGTAGAGACTCCTAAATGTCGAAGGAGACGCATCATTTACTTTTCTGATTTTCATAGGAGATTTGAGGTGTATCTAAAGGAATAAGAAAACAAGTAAATGATGCATCTCCTTCCTCATTTAGGATCATTTCCAAGTTTTCTAATTCCTTTAGATAATCCTCAATTCTCCTATGTAAATAGAAAGTTGGATATTTTATTTTTATTTGGTAGTATTATTAGTATGGGACTATGGGTAATGGGTGCGTTGCATTATTCAAAATTTCTAATGTATTTTAGTGAGACAGCTTCTCTGGCTGCAATTCATTAGTATGATGACACTCTTTAGGCCTTGATCAATCAAATGTATTTTTCTTACATTTTCTCTAATCTTTTTCATATATTGCGGACCACTATGTTTTGTTTTTCCTTATCTTGCATGGTTTTATGGTAGCCACTAGTATTTTGGTTTGAATTATTTTATTCACGTTTATGAAAATGCTAAATGCTAAACAAATAAAACAAAGAGACTCGTTAAGGAAGAAAAAAATGAAATATTAAATGAATATAACATACAGAAATTGTGACAACAGAAGTATAAAATTAATTCAGACTTGAGAAAAGTAACATTTATATTTGATAAATCAATTAACAGCCATTTTTTATCTTCAATATCATGTCTTTATTAAAAAAAAGGAAGAATCATCAACTTTTTTCTTTAATCATGAGACTCGATTAGATTGACAAAATCATTTCAAATAAGTCATACGCATTCCAATCATCATTAGCAAATAATTTATTTTTCGAAAATATAGATTATTTTAAAAAATGTTGTACACATCGACTAAACACTATTACACTTAAACCGTCAAATATACCCCGTAGTTTTCTAAATGACTCCTTTGCTTTACAACTTAGGAAAAAAATTATGTGATAATGTCTAGCAGCACAATTTATCTTAAAAAATATCTAACCCCAAACGCGCGCCTTCTAGATAACAGATACTAATTATTATTATTTTCTCGTCTCAATTCTCATAAACACTCGATAACATATATCATTATCTGTGATTATAATACAAAAAATTGTCACGTAGCTCGAGTCCTCTCCCTGTCGCCTATGTCTCACATTTTTGTTTTCGGTTCTCATTTTGTTTTTTCGCCCGCAAGACCCCAAAAATGACCTAAGAAAATATCTTCTTCGAGTGGCAAATTCTACCTTTGCATGCGAAAATAACTATTTACCGACTTTGGTAACACTTTTTCTCTATTGCGTTTTTGTAAATGTGATCATTTTTCTTAGGCGTAGTGAGACACTGTGAAAAAATTCGATTCATATAAAACAAAATATTTTCATGTTTTACAGGGTTGCCGCTTTTGGAAATAAAAATGTAATTTATTAGGCTGCAAACATATGAAAAATGGTATTGGAAAACATCTTAAAATGATCTTTTGGCATACGCTTACTGTGGATGTGCTAGTTGTTATATTTTCTAAATGTTATTTTGTTGTGAATCAAGCACGAAGAAAACAATAAATTATAGAAAGAAATTGCAATTGAGGTAAATAATCTTTTAGGTTTTTTTATTGATTGTGTGAATGATTAATTACAAATCCCTAAATCTGTATTTATATCCTAAAAAACCTGTCTCCATGTATTTTCCTTAACTTGCTTTAGCAGGGTCCCTTAAGAATATTTTTGTCATCAAGAAACAACATATTTTAACTTTACATAAATTATTTGTTGGTGACTTTAATTTTAGTTATACATGCTTCTACCTAAATACATGGAGAATTCACATAAACTCAACAACGATTTGAAGATTTTGAAATTAATTACAAGATGGAAATATTAACCAGGGACGAAAATTTGGAGGAGTCAAATGAAAAAAAAGAAAAGAAAGAGTACCTTCCGAAGCAAGCAGTTAGTTGCTCCCCATCATCGCATATTCCTCAAAATAGTAACCATTTTTTATTATAAACTGATAACCAAAAATTTTGCTGTCAAACGTTCATTTAAATATTCGAGCACTGATTAGATTGCAATTCGTAATTATTTCCGTAACAAACCAACAATATTATATATATATATATGTCGATAATTTGTTTTTGTCAAATCTATACGTCGATAATTCAATCCAGGGATTTATGATGGCCTTGTGAAATTTTAAATCGCCCCAGAAATTGTACCCTCAACCTCAAACTGCAATAATCTATATTACTAGAGTTTTATCTTAAAACTTCAAACCTAATATTACCAACCAATATTATGATTTTCTAACGAGTGGTATGTAATAATAATATCTTACCAGAATAAATTTGTTCACGAAAGAAAAAAATTTTCATTCCGTTTTTGTTAATATTGTTTACATGTAAATGTTGTAGAATCAAACATATATTATCGAACCACAATACACCAGCATCTCTTAGACCTGTAATCTTTTTCCGTCAGGGGTCACATTTGATCAATCTCAAAAGAGCCGACGCTACTTCTCAGCCGCCGATAATCGAACCAGAAATCTTTGAAAGCATAATCTTGTAGAGAATCTTAAAAAGCACCATTAGTCCAAAACAAACATGATATAATAAACAGATTTTAGGTAAAAAGTTTTACTATTATAACATGAAAAAAAATTGTAACATGTTCATCCATCTCTCATTCCACTAAAATCAACTAATCTTAAACTAAACAGGAATCATGATTATGAATAAGTAATTACTCATTAGTCTATCTCTTATTATCTGCGTGTGACTACTACTATCTTCGAGAAATAAATAAATAAATAAGGCACCAACCCCATTTTAAAGAAATCGCCACATATATAAAAGTAAAAGCCTTTCCTCTCTTTCAGTTTCGACATTCCCCAGAATCTCTCCCCTTTTTGTCTCCAACCAAAAACCTTAATCACCTTTCTTCGTCGTGAAACAGAGCATAACAGAGCAAAACAGAGACGTTCGACTCTGACTTAATCCACCCCTAAATCCTCTGTTTCTATTCCAAAGTAAGTTAATTCATTCTTTTTATTTTTCTATGTCTTCTGTAGTTACGATTATTAAAAATTCAAAACCAACAGAGAATTACGAGTTTTTTTAGCAAAAATATAGAATTGACCTATGTTTCTTCATGAACTTGATGATCGTTTCTGTCTATGTTTCTCTCTAGTTGTGTTTCAATCAAGGATCAATGGAAACCGGTGGAGCGATTCCGGGTCAGGACACCGGATCCGGGTTTCAAAAACCCGTTAACCCAGATGGGTTTGTGACGATCGATGTTGAAAGTTTCTCTTCTCCTCTGTTCCACAAAGACTTATCTTCTTCCAGTCCTAGAATTACTGTAAGTTTTAAAAATCCAAACTTTTTTTCATCATTCCCTTGAAGTTTTTCAGAATTCAGAAACACCAAATTTTCTAATTTTGATAATTGTTTTTTTTTTTCTATTTTCTCCTCTGTTTTTTTTTTTTTTGGTAATTAATTTTTTGTGAGAATGATGGAAGAATCGCCCCATAACCTGTAACTACTCTTGAGTCGTCGATTCAATTTTCTCATTTATTACTTTTCCAGTAAATAAATAAAATTAATAAAAAAAACTCAATCGAAAGTTGACTTTTATGTGTCAGTTTGTTTTATAAATATTTTTGCCGTGCTCTCAAACTACTATCGTCTCACGGATTTCTCTGTTTTCTTTTCTGTTAATTGGCATTTGGCATGAAGCTTAATTAAGATATTTAAAAAATTTAATTTCTCTTTTGGAGTGATTCTAGAGAAATTCAAAAATTGAATATTTTAATGTATCATTGCATTTTTTTCTATGATTATTAGTTAAGTAAACTGAAAGATGGAATATATTATAAAAGCTGCAGAGAAGTGTTTCGAGGAAAGGGTCTCCAAGAAGCAACAACGAGAGGAAACTCCATTGTGACGCAAATGGTAATGACAAGGAGACCTCATTTCCTCAGTCCCCACTTAGAGGTAAGATTTAAATCATTCTTCAATATATATAGTTTTTAAAATAGATGTGTCATAATCTTGTTTCATCATTTCCCTTAATACATGATACATCGATTAGTTTTGAATAAAGTAAGCATTAAACTAACGTTTCATTACACGTATATGGACAAATGCATTTTTCTATAGCCCCAATGGTACATTTTGTTTCTTTCTTCTGTTTTTTTGTTACCATGTGCTAACACATAATACAGTAGTATCAAATAGACCTAGCAGATTCTTGTCATTAATTCGGTTTGGGCTTATCTGTGACTGTGAGTAGTATAAAAAAAATCTTAGATTTGACAAAAATAATTTGGGTTTTTATGATGGAAACAAACATATCTCGGACTTTTGATAATACATTTCAAACTATTATTTTATTTTATGCGGTTAGATATTTTCTTGGGATAGGTTTATCTTCATGAAATACTTTTGAGTATTTTTTTATCTCTAATGCAAGAAGGTTCGGTTTGCCAATATCTGTATATAATAATTTTTTAATCTACCTGGTTGTTTTCCCTTCGAATGTATAAATTACAAACTGTTAGGTGGGATTTAGTTAATGTGACCAACCAATGCGTTTTAAGCTGTAGACGTAACTAAGGTTAAAATATTTTTAAAACAAAACCTCACCAGTTCTACTTTTAATTTAATATAATTACAAAATTTCCGTACATCTTACTAGCTAACTTTTTACTTAATGCTTGCAGTCTATGAAAATGAAAGACACAATATATAATATGTTATATCTGTTTCGTGCTTCAACCAAAAATGAAGACCTTGATTTTCTCTTTTTGAATATTTATTTGTGTTAGCCACATAGCTTCATGCAGACCACAACACAGCGCAAACCAATATTCCAACTTTTTATTCTCCTGCACCGCATGCTCACTCATACTATTATTAAATTCGGCATACAATGACTAATGAATACGTTATGATTCAATTTATTTTGTCTTGTCAAATAAAGAAAAGGAATCATTATTCATTGTTATTCATTAAAGCTTGTGGTATGGTATTTTGATGAGTTGTAGGGTCTAGCACGCCGGAAAAGCCTAGCACCTTGGGGTCCATTGATCATGCAGGCACGACCTCAACCACAGCCACCGCTGTTTCAGCCTCGCCGCTTCATCAGATCACCGTTACTACGGCTGCGCCCGCCACCATCTCCGACCAAAGTAGAGAAAGAAGATTCGGATTTTCGAGGAAATCGAGTTTTAAACGCTCTCACACTTCTTGGATGCTTGATCCGAAGAAGATCGTCCTCTTCTTTGCAACTTTGTAAGTAATTATCACTTCCCTTTTTTTCAACATAATTTTATTTAAATAATTAACCTAAAAATATACATTTCACTTATGAAATACAAAGGTTTTAAAAATATATAATTGAAAACGCAGAAGGATCAGTTCTATTAACAATTGATTTTAGCCATGATTGAATTTAAACGTCTAAATTAAATTAATACACATATATAAATATATTTAGATTATCATTAAGTCATGTACGACATGCTACTGAAAATCGGGGCATCTATTGTCTATATCACAATTAAATAAATGAAAGTTGTTTTTTGTCGAATACATATTGATGGAATGTTAATTTTTGTGACAGGTCAAGCATGGGATCAATCTTGTTAATCATATTTACTCTCTCGATCAGCAAGTCTAATTCCGGAGATATGCCTCTAGACTAATAGTAAAAATACAAGAAGAGCAATATATATGGACCGACCTAAGTTTGTGGCTATAGAACATGCACAATCTCACCGACCTACATTTGAGGAGATGAATCAGAAGAACATTACAAATTTGAAGAGCGTAAGGTTGTGATAATAATTATTTTGTATATTTCAAAAAAAACAAAAAATGAAAAAGAAAACAGTAAGAGAGAAAAAGTGGGAAGTGGGCACACACGAGATCATATGAAGATTGGAAAAGAAAGCTTTAAGACAAGAGTTTATGACTATTGTGACAAAGACAGAGAATCTTCTCTTCTGTTCTTTTAATTATTTTTTCTCTGTTTTCAAAATTTATTTGGTCTAGTGTGTGTTTTTCATTTTGCTGAAATTATTTTATGTACATATATCAATTGTCGGGAGCATTTTTAGTTTTTATTTGTGTTCACATAGAGAAAATTTGAGTCATGTGGGATCGAATGAAATTGAGTTGTTTTGTTCCGCTCGTGCGCTATTTGTGTTTTCTAATAAATTCTTTTATTCCGATGTCTTCCAATTTTATTTGATCATTTCAATTATGTGTTGATTCATTTTTTAAGAGAAAGCAAACTATAACAGTTATTTTAGTTTGGGTTTGTTTTTTCCTTGCACCATCTACTCGTATTACTGTTAAGAGATCTATTAACTTGATAACAATTCACAAAAGATTTCCCATTTTTATAGACTCGTTCATAATTGACTAGGATTTATATTGAATTTCCCCATATATGTGAACTTGATATTTGTTGTTAGTTAGTATTACTTTTCTGAAAAACTAAAAATTCAAAACTTCGGACCATCTTAACAAATACTAGAACCTACACAAGCGTGGAGCATTTAAGAGTCACCACATGCTATTCACCTAAGCTATTACTAAATTTAGGTGACTTCAAGTTTTTGGATCATAAAGTGATAACATCTCCCTATCATAGACTAAATTGCAAGAATATATTACCTGCCCGATGTATATACATCATGTAACACATATTCAATTTTTATGATAACAACCAAAGTTGAAACGTGGTTTAAAAAGTTTGATGTTGAAATGCCGCCAAACAAGTCCAAAACGCCTATATAAAATTGTGGCGTGGGTTTAGGGGAGTATGAAAATAGAGTATGCGATTGAAGGAAAAGAATATTGCTGTTATTGATCACATTTGAGATGGTAAAAAATCATGAGTTTTAGATGAAAAATAAGTTCTTGCTTATATCTGCACCCACAAAAAAACTTATATATTTACACTTTCTATAAAATATTTGTTTCATTTTTGACATTTTTGTATCATCGGTCAAACAACTCAAACCCCACCTAATTATCTTGACTAACCAATTAAACTGCTGAAACTGCACAGTTACAACTGCTATTAGTATTCATATTACTAACATACATATCTAACATTCATATAAATTTACTGTTTCATCATGTCATGTTTTAATATATAATTACATGTAAAGGTAGCTTTATGGCTATAATTAAATGTATAATTATTACAACTGAGGTATAGAATATAGTATACGAGTTTGCACCTTGTCATAATTCAGATGAAATTAAATAATGTGCGTGTGAATAATATAATTTTGACATATATGATTCTTCATGGTTTCTAAATTTAGTTATCAATTTGATATTTAATAAAATTATTTTTTCATTTATCATATTATTTGCTTATCTCATTATGTTTAACAGGTTTATGGGGAAAAAGAAAATACTCACCAAGACTCCAACTTGGGCTAGCAGATGTATGGATTTTAGCTTTAGCCCCTATATTATGGTCATGTAAAAATGTACCAATGGGCTTTACAAAATAAATTCTTTTATTCTCATAAAATATATAGATCAAACTATATTTTCTCCACAAATGCTTTCACATTAACTAAAATACTCTTCCAATAATTGTTACTGAGTTAGTAGCACTTAGAGATGCGAGGCATTGTTCGATTGGTTTGTCTTTCGTCGTAAAGCCTCAAAATCACTGCCGCAGTTTCCTCAATTGCTCTTTCTGTCACTTCTGCAAAACAAAACACTTCAAAAATTTAATTTTTTTTTGGTTATATCAAATTCTATTAGATTCCTCATCATACATAAACATAGTCTTACCAATCACTGGCCAAGTCGGATTCTCTGCGAATATTCTCTTAGCAAGCTCAAGCTCTTGCTTAACAGAACTTAACTCAGAGTAATCAGTCTTAAAACTCGAGCCAAGACCAAGACTCTTGGCTCTAGCTTCTCTTATCCCTTGCAACACGACCGGATTAATCATCAGACCAAAAACCTTTCTTGAATCAATTTCGAACAGAGTCTTGGGAAGATCTACACCGTTCACGATCGGTACGTTAGAGACTTTGTAACCCTTTTGAGCTAAATAAGTCGAGAGTGGTGTCTTCCCTGTCCTAGAGACACCTACAAGAACAATGTCTGCTTTTTCAAGATTATCAGGCAAAGCACCATCGTCGTGTTTGATTGTGAATTCGATTGCTTCGATTCGTTTGAAGTAGTCTTCGTTGAGAGATGAGTTTGTGACGCCACGTGAAAGACCGGAAGGATTAGCTCCTAAGTGAGAGGAGATTGAGTCTGTGATTGGTCCGAGGATGTCTAGTGAAGGTATATTCCATAGCTTGCAAGCTCTCATGGCTGATTTTGCCATTGATGTATCAGCTAAAGTGTAGATTACCATTGCTCCTTCTCTCGCTGCTTGCTTTATGATCTCCATTAGTTTCTCTCCATCCTCGATCTTCATATAATTCACATTTCCATCAACCAAATTAATTCATTTTCGGTTTCAATAAACCGAACCGATATACATTAGGAAAGTTGAAATACCGACATCATGAGCTATATAATAAGAAAAAAAACCCGAACTGAACCGAATTTGGCCGATCCTGATGTAAAAACAACCCTTTCTTATACGGTTGTAAAAAGTATTTCTATTCCATGTTTCTAACCGAACCAAATTCGTTTGCAACACATACTACTAAATTAAATTATTTAAAGAAAAATTCCTAAAAATTAAAATTTTGGTTAAAAAAAAATTAAATATACTCAAACCTATAATTCTAATCAAAATAAATTATTTTTATAATTTTGAATCCAAAATATAACCGAACTGCAATCTGTACCGAACCAAAGTTTAAAAGCAAACCGAATGAAATTTAATACTATCTAGACCTGTTTTCCCAGTCCAGAAAATTAAACCAAAATTTGAATGCCCAAACCTAAAACAACCTGATGTCAAACAAATTAATTCATTTGTTTCAATTCGGTTTAAAGTGAGTTTTGTAAAATCCGCTAACCGAATTGACTTCGGTTCGGTTGATAGCCAAAAAATTAAAATATCGAGAGGAAAGAGAGATGTGAAAGTCGAGAATACCCCTGAGAAGAGATGTGTATTTACGGGACAGCCACGGTCGACCAAGCAATAATCGAATTGACCCAAGGCAGCATTAACGGCGTGTTCCGCCGTCCATCCAGTTCCGTCAGAGACTATGTAAATCGACTTCGCCGCCGACATATCTGTCTCGTTATCTCCGTTACTTGATGCCTCGTCACTGACCAGTGTCGAAATATCAGAGGTACTCGAATTAACGATCGGGTGCCTCGGACCGGTCGTACTGTTTGACTTTGAACCATTACTGATCGTATGGTCCAGCTTCGCGCCGGACCTTAAGGTTCGAGCTCTGTTCCAGCGACTCAGTTTTGAGCTCAATTTCCGAGGCTGTCGTTCGGAACCAGGTTCGGAGGCGTTAAAGGAAACTGAATCCGAACGTGCAGGTTCGGAGTTTTGGTTTAGATTGGACGAGATCGGTGGTGGACGTCCCTGCAATTTCATCGCCGAGAGAAAAGCCATTTCTCTATTATGTTTTTTTTTTTTTTAATTTAATTATTTATTGTGAGTTGTGACCTTTCGCCTAATATCTTATGAAAATACAAATAAATTTCCAATTTTTACTAGGAATTTTTGTTTCACTTCTCGGGAGTTTATTATTTCAGCGAAGCTGAAACTGGATGAACCTTAACCAACTACTTTAATCAGAATTTCGATTTCGGTTTAATTTTGAGATTAAGATGTAGTATATTAGTATACGTTTTCTTTAATACTTGGAAAAGGTTCTTTTGGAACGCAATACAACTTCGATTTTAAAGGTCTAAATATCAGTTTTTTTCCTTTACTTCAATTTACAGTCAATCGGAATAAACTCCGGTTTAACTGAAATTTTGTTGTCTTTGAATGAATTAATAATCACCTTTTTAAATAATAAATTTTATGTACTATGTAGAATAAATATTTATTAAGAAAACCAACAAAAAATAATATGAGAGAAAAATCAAAACAAAAACAATTTAAATAAATCATAAAACCTAAAAATTAATTAAAAAGTGGGTGTATAAATTAATAGTGATGATTAAGGAACCTAGGGAGACCAACTTTAAAACCAAGCTTCTTAACATCCTCTTGAACCTGTTGTCTGAATTCTCTGAAGCTGAAATTTCTATAAGCAGGAGAATCACTTGAACACTCTATAACGGCGTCGTATGATGGACACAGAAAATACGCCGTTGAGAATCTCTCCACCGTTGGATTTGTCATCACACGGTGTTCCACACTTTTGTACATGTCATTGCTCCATGCCTAACAAAACGTATAATATCATTAAGATATATATTAATCTCAAACATTTGTAAACATAAACAATGCCTTTTATTATCGATGCGATATACAAGTAATTTGGTTACTAGTAATCATAAACCATTCAAAAAATTGGACTGAAAACTAAATTAAATTTAGTCACAAATCAAAAGATGCAAAAAGGGTTAACCATACTCAAACCTAACCGAAACTGGATCTGCCTGGTAAAAAAAGAACATGGATTTAGAACTCTTAGCTTATTAGCTTAATTATATTACCTGAAATAAGTCGCCAATATTGATAATGAGAGCACGAGGATTAGGTTTAACGGCGATCCATTTATTGTCTTTGATGAGTTGGAGTCCTCCGACTTGGTCTTGGTATAGGATTGTGAGGAAATCACTGTCAGTGTGTGGCATGAGACCGTACACCTCCGATGGTTTAGGACAAGGTGGATAACGGTTCATCCTTAGGTAACATGTGTTTCTCACACAGTTTTCTCTGAAGAAATTTGATTTTCGTCCTGATTTCTCTGCAAGAACCTCAGCCAACATATATGCTAGCGCCTCCGATTCCGAAGCAAATTTCTCCATTGTTGAGCTGGATGGGAATACAATACGTAAATAAATATGAAATGATCATATAAGAATTTCAAATATATAGCAGAATTATAGAGATGTCATATTAATTTGTTGTATATATTGATATGGTGAAACGAACAAAGCGTAAAACTGTAAAAAGAAAACATTGCAAAATAATAGTAGAATTGTTAAACGAAAGTAAAAACTATTTGAAAAACAAAGTTACAATTTTTTTGTTATTAACAAAACAAATGGTATATTGGCATTTACATGATTATTTCATTTACACGTCATTACTGATCATTGGATAAGTGGTAATTGTTAGTGTTTTTTGCATAAAAATAATTGTTAGCTACTGATTAAAACCTAGGCGTATAAGGATATTGTAGGTGCATGCTACGTGAAAAGATATGATCACATATGAAATCATCAATACCATCTACGAAAAATCTAATATCTCTCAATACGACAGTGAGAGAAAACGGGGTGCAGTTCATATGTATGGAGCTAGGTGTAAGTTTGTGAGACATGTGAGTTATAAATGGAGAAGGGTCCCAAGAGAATAAAACAGGACGAGAAGAAGAAAAAAAAAGAAAAGAAAAAAGAAGAGTGTTTAATCAGGTTGGGAGGAGAGGTACGTGTACGTGTCCAACCCATTGGTCTTATGATAGAGATATCTCCTACCTGTGAGGAACATGGGACCCTTTCCCAATTTTGGGTCTTCTATATTATTTCTCTTTTTGGATACATTGTATGTATATATCATCATCTTTGATCATTAGAATGATAGTGAACTCTATTCACTTAATTTTCTGGTTGGATTAGCTCGGGTGAGAAAACATAATCCGGTCAATCTAATTAATATCTCGTGAGAAAACCATAATCCTGTCAATGTTTTAACGGGAGCACTGGAAAACGAAAACTAAAGTTTATTGTAAGCTTTTGTAAGTCAAAGTATTGGACTCTTTTATCTAACTGAAATGATATCAAAATGATCATATATGTGGCTTTTTTTTTAAGTGATCATATATTTGGTGAACAAAGGCAAACTAGCTAAGGAATCCAGACTATCACTAGATGAATGCAAGTGTTTCTAAAGGATCTAAACTAATACAATTCATTGGATCACTGCAAACCCACAAAAATATCATTGAATAAAGTTTGAATTCCCCTTTTTATAAAAAAAAAACAAAAAAAACTATATGTTTATTTATTGAACTTGTTGAATTGGTATTTCAATAAAAATTAAGTTTTAGAATTTATTGTCAGATTGCAACTAATGGTGACTTATCAAGAGACGCCAACTACGAAAGGTGGTACTGGCAAAGGGAAGTGGTCACACATATACACATTCTCAAACACATAATTAGCTGAAACTGCAAAAGATGTGTAAGATAACCACATGCATGCAAATACAAGTACATGTAAGAATGTGTACAGTTTCCAGCACATATTCATACACACTCATCACAAGATAATACATAGCCTGGCATGTTCGAGTACTTCATCTTCCTTTTCACTATCCCTCTTTGCTAAACGGACAGTTTTCTCGTGACTCTACCTTCTTTCCTCACCATATAGTACTCTAATCTACATTATCAAAGTGTACTTCGTGTTTCAAGGATCGTACATTAGTTTTTTAAGGGGTTTTTACTTGAGAACAAGTTTATTTATTTATTTTTTTGTTATTAGAGGTTCTGCGCAGTTTTTTTAATAAACGAACATCACGTAAGAAGATAATTTACAATCCACATCGACCGGAAAATGAAGATTAACACCCATGGACAAAAAATCTTTTATAAATTATAACTAGGCTATGTGTAAAACGCGTATAGTTGATTTTTCGTTTCATAATCTAAAATATTAATAATTAATGAAAACGGTTTACGTATTTATTGTAATTTTTTTTCCGGATCAAATGTACATGTGTGTATAGTAGAAATAATTTGTTTCAGATGTATACACATGTTAAAAAGCTGAAAATTTTCAGATGTAAACGCATGTCGAGTCTGTAATGTTTGTATAGTTATAAAAGCAACATCTGTCTTCTAATGAGTTGGTTGAGGGTTTTTTTTTTTGTTCGGAGAACGAGTTGGTTAATGGTTTTTTGATTATTTTTTCCGACAAAAACCGACCAAAAATCAGTTGGTTGCAATTAGTATTTTTGTTTTTTTTTTGTTTTTTTTGCTAGCATGTTTAAAAAAGTTGAAGTTGATTCAATTCTTAAGCTTACGAGGAGCCAAATAATAAAAACCAACAATAGAAAACTAGCTAGGATAAGATTATATATGTATGGGGTTATATATATAATACATTTCTAACGACACAATATTTATTCTTTTTTTTTTTTGGTTTTAAACAATATTTATTCTTTGAAAGTATAAAAATTATTTATTTATTCATTTTATTTCACATGCCAACTTGCTATCTACAAATTAGACTTATTCAAAAATAGGAATAAAAAATGGGAAAACATAGAAACGCATGAGAGATGGAGAATAAATCTTTGACCCGATGCCCAACAACTTTACTTTTTAGGATTTTAATTTATTAAATGAACCAAATAGTATTAGGGGACTAGAAAAATAAATGACAACACTCTGTTTGCTTTCAAAACAGCAAATATATATTGGATTAAAAACTGCATTTGTCTCCCATGTTCGTAATCTTTGACCATTGAATGAAATTGCTCTGCAGATTATGTTACTAATAGTCCAACACTTACATTAATCAAGCGTTTTAATATATGTACACTATTAATCCTAGAATTAACACTAGTTTCTAGGTGATTAACACTAGTTTCTAGGTGATGATGTGTTATTAGAATCTAACTAAAACTCAAGTTAGTAACAAAGGTTACATGGAATTTCATTTCCATCTTGTTATTGGAAAATATTCTCCAAATATATTTTCAAATGAGTTAATTTAATTATTAAATTATTCAAAATAAGTAAATTAATTATTAAATAAATCTAATTGATTATAGCAATATTTGTGTACCTGAGGGTAGTGAAGTCCTTGTTGTCAGAAATATCTGTCATGGGAACATGAAATGCTTCCGACCAAGAAAGCTGCCGGAGACAAGTGGCTGACGGCGTTCCCCACCGGTAACTCCCTGCAGAGAATTTCTCCGACTTGCTTTTCTTTTCAAAGGGTTCTTTAAAAACCCTAATTTGCTCTTGTCTCATCCTCTCCAACACATCCATTGATATTCCATGGTTTATAACTTGGAAAAATCCCCACTCCCTCGAAGCTCTGGCAATATCTTCCTTACATTTCTCTCTCTCCTTCTTGTTTCCATCGATCAGACGGCTGACGTCAATCACCGGAAGCTCCACCTCTTCGACGACAGCCGTGACAGAGAAGCTAAATGGTATATCGGAAACATTGTTTACTGTGTTTGTGATCTGTTTATACAAAAGGGTTTTGTATATCTCATTGAATGGTGGATCCATGAGAGTTAACCAAGAGATGAAGAAAGGTGAAAGTTAAAGAGGATTATGGGAAGTGAAGGTTATCAAAATACGTGTTGTGATGAGAGACACAACTCTTACATTTATATACACGTCCACCTATATGCATATATGATATATGTATGTACGAGTGCAATTTGCTTAGTAAACCATGTTGATAAAAAAATAAAAAATGAATTTTTGAAAAAGAAAAGAAAAATGTTTGCCGCCCATTGAC